CTCTGAAGTTGGAAAAATGGCCATTTTTATGGGGTTCGCACGAAAACGTAGTTTTAGAGTACACCTAGGGCCTTCGTACCGGCAAAATCGGATTCCTTGTCCAAAATTACGCCTAGAGAACTTTGACGCACTCATCTATCTCATTTATTACCCGATCTGTGACAAGTCTTCACATTTACCGCAATTCTCCTTAAAGTAAATGCCTTACGTGATTGCAAAACTTTAGAAAGCTGCCATTTCCAAACTACTTGAGCTACAGCGGTGAAATTTCACACCAACTCTGACATCACTTGGGACAATATTTAGACTGAATATGGGGCGGAGACGGTCACGCGAAAGGTGGCTTATCTGATCTAAAACTACCCAGAAATGACGGTTTTTCAATTTTTGCAGCGCCACTGCTTTTCACGCGGCGTACACAAACTTTTTATCTCCTAGTATGATAGATTGGTCCTTTATCTATAAAATCCACTCATCGGATTGGCGAAAATCGATGCCGAACACCAAAACCCCAAGAAAAGTAAAAACCACTACAAAACCTGAAAAACAGTCATAACATCTGTTTGGGTTGTCCTATCAACAAACGGGCACCGGATTCGTGTTCCTCGCGTGATTTTACATAAGATACCACATTTTGAGCTCAATCGAGTGCATAGAGGCCTCAGAAAGGTGATTTTTCAATTTTGGCCATATTATGTGAAAAGTTGTCAGAGAAAACGAAAATTGCCCATAGAATCTGAACGGTGCATATTTCGGCCCAAAAAATTTGTGGTCTCTCTTAGACCCACAAGGACTACCTTTGACCAAAACAAGCTAGGGCCCGCCCTTCCGTCGAACCGAGTTGCCAGCTCCGCTTCGCTGCGCCGGCAACTCGGTTCGACAGGGGGCCGGCCCAGCTTGGCCTGCCGGCGGCCTTTTCTCGGGCCTTCGGCCCTCGCATCAGACCCAACTTGGCCAGTCGAAGGCCCGGGCCTTCGGCCCGCTCGCATCACACACACCGTGAGCGGGTAAAGCAAAGTTATCGATGTACCATCGTGACTTAGGCCCTCCCTTCTATTCACAATATGCAATGGTCCTTACACTTTTTACTCCAACTGTCCTTAGAATATGCCCGTTTCATTTGTCTCTTCGCCCTCATTCCGAAAATACCCATATTTGCCATGCTACTGCAACTCCTTGCAATAGAGGCACAACAGGAGCGCAAAACGAGTCCGTCGCACTTTTTCCCATAACTCATGAAGGCGGGCTCCTGGACCCCCCTTCCGACCCCTCGTTGAAGAGGTCTTGCCAAGACCTATCCAAAACTTAAGTAAAAATTTTCAGTCGGTCGACCCCCTTTTTTCAAGATCCTGATGTGACTAATAGACGAAGTCGGGCTCCTGGACCCCCTTTCCGACCCCTCGTTGAAAAGGTCTTGCTGAGACCAATCGAAATCTGCAATAATTTTTTTTAGTCGGTCGACCCCCTTTTTTGAAGATCCTGATCTGGCCAACTTGTAAAAGCGGCCGATGGGGTCGGGACCAGGTCCATTCATCCTGTCTCGTCACCCCGATTCCAAAAATACCCCTATGTGCCCTGCTAGCACCAATAATGGCGGAAATCCCCCTCCCGCTCATGTAAACCATGATGCACCTGCAGCAGCCCTTGTGCGACCCGGACGGGATTTGCACCACCGGATTATTTGTTTGGACGGTACTCCTGAAGTACCCTCCAAATCTGGTTACTCTAGCTCAACTCCTTCCTTGTACACAGACGCCAACAACAACAACAACACACAGACACAAAGGCAAATGCATAGGCCCTCCCCCTATTTTTTGAATAGAAGGGCGGGCCAAAAATGGAGGAAATCGGCATCGGTCGTGTTCCACGATCGGACTTCTTTAAAAAAATGCCTCTTAATTAGTATGGCTGGAATGGGCCGCGTGCTGGCCAAGCGATGGCGAGGTGTTGGCCGAGGCCGGGTTTGGCCAGAGTTGACCGGGCCCAGGCTGGGTGTTGGCCGGGTGATGGCCGGGCCTGGGCCGGGTGTTGGCCGGGTGATGGCCCGCTGGCTGGGACTTGGCCTTCGTCTAGGGATGTCATTAGTAAAAGTTCGTACCAGAAAAGACACAGTAAATTCATTTTCAAGGGTTGGCAGTATTTCTCTGGGCGTCTGCGCTCTTTCGAAAATCACGAGGCTGAAAACACCAAGGGGGTATTCACTCTGGTAAGCTTGTCCGCTATGTACTTGATCTGTAATAGTTTTGTAATGTAATTGGTAATAAGGTCAGCAAGTAGGAAAAATAAGAGGCAATTTCGTTTCTTTTTAGACCATTGTTACCTTAGGAACTTTTTGAAAAGTTTTTCGGTTCTGATAGATCAACATTACGCATACAAAACCTGCACCCAATAAAAGGGACGCATCACCGCATTCTTGTAAAAATTAAAATAGTTCGAAATGGCCAAAAATGCTTGTTTTACGCTCAAAAATTCCAGCTGTGTAATGAAAAGTGTAATGGGCGTAATTGGTGTAATACTTTCGGAAAGGTAATAGTCGGTTGACCATTTTCGAGAGTGAATACCCCCTCGGAAAACACAGTAGTCGCGCATTATAGCTGCCCCTCCATTGTTGCTGATGTTGGATTGTTTGGCTTGCTTTTAAAGGCTGCGGTTCTCTTGCCATGTTATCCTCATTTCTGTGGAACAGTTACAACTCACAACGTAACAACAGCACGACGCGGTTGGTTTGACAAATTTTATGGACTCAGGAGGGATGGTTCCTCAACGCGGGTGACTTTCGTTTGCCGAACGACGAACATGAGCACTGAAAGTCGCGAGATGATGGAGTGAGGTGGTCGTGGTGTTAACTAAATCAGGTTTGACTGGAAGTCTTCTCTATTCGTTAGTTTCAATTTAGCGCATGCGCATTTGAAATTTTTAAATTTTCTCAGGATTATCTAACAGTTGGTGTCAGCACAATCTATTAGAATTCTTATTATCAAAATTCTGGGAATCCTATTCTAAATTATCAACATGGGAACACCGTGCAATGCAATTAGCATTGGATCTTTAACACTTGTGAGTTCGCTGAGTGCGGGCGAATTTGAACATACGAGTACACTACACTGCAGAAAATAACCACAACAAAAGTACACAAATTTCTGGCAAATTTTTTATCAGGAATCTAGTGTACTTTTTAAGTACAACAATTGTTGTACAAAGTACAACGGAACCGGCATGACGAGTGCTGGGCAGTCCAGGGCTGGTTGTGGTTTGTACAATTCTCGTTGTACTTTCTACTATCCCTGTTGTACTTTTATTGTACAGTTTTTGTTGTACTTTTGCTGTACTATCTTCTTGCAGTGTAGTGACTCCCCCTCGAGTCATGCCAAGTTGAATATCGTTTCCTGCTGGTTCCCTGTGGATTCGAGGGTGCTGATGACGTAGTGGGACCTTTTGTGAACCGAGCCCCAGGTTTGGGTCCCAATAAGGCATAAACCGGCGCAGCATCGCGAAGGCTGTTACGACAAGCCACGGTCTGGCGTACACCCACCTTGTTTTAGGGCGAGTGCTGTAAGCCATCTTGTCGTAACTGGTTTCGCGACATCGCGTCAGTTCCTGCTTACTACGCTTGGCAGACTACTCTGGTGTCTACACAGACTATCCTAAGAATTTGGGACACCCTCTTCTAATCATATGAGGTTTCATCTTATTCCAACGTGAAATCGAACGCTTCGCTTAAGTTTCAATTGGAAGGGGCTTTAAATCGAACTCCTCTTTCCAAACTTTGCATTCTTGGACGGTAGCCATGGACTACAATTGTTTCCAAGATTAGCTACAAAGCAGATTTTCATTAGGTTGCGACTAAAAATTTAAACGGGAATCATTATTATGTTAACACCGGTGCAATGTCCGTCCGAGTTTATGAATTCGATAACTGTCGGAATTAGCTTGGTCGTTTCCTTATAAAGAATTGTTTCATAAACGCAACCGAATTTCGGTAAGTGTGATCATATGGGAAATCTGCAAATCTGGAGGGATCGCGTGATGTAATACACATCAACCTGCTGATAAACCATCAAAGAAACCACCGTAGCTTCAATACGTCCGGATCTCTTATCTGCCTCAAATGATCGAACTTCATGAAATTTGGTTGGTAAATTCTCATTGCGGAAACGATCAGATATATGATGTGTCCGAAAACGATAAGATAACATCTTGTGAATAGAACCAGCGATCTAGGTGGCTCTCTCGACCACAAATACCTGTGCCTCCAAGGCTTGCACCTTCTCATATACCTAAAAAGCAATTCAAATTGGAAACAAAAGTCTTCTCGTGGAAAAGACCAGCAGACTTTAGGGATAGAGGTGTCTCCTTTCCTGATGAACAGAGTACTGCAAACCTAACTTTCCACCTTATGCACTCTGTGCGAAAGACCACGCAGTAATCCGCTTCAAACATTGCAAAGCCGGGTAATTTACTTAGCAGGACACAGTATTCTGGCCGGTTAAGCCATTTACTGCCTAGAGGATATTCCGTATCACTCTGTGGTACAGAAATCCTCATAGGTGCAGAATTCCTGCCACTGGGTACAGTAAATCCTGTACTCTGAACTACAGTGACAGCTGTACTAATCACTACAGGATTTACTGTGATTTTTGCCCACAGTGTGCACTCCTTCAAATGCATTCCCGCAAGTAAACAGCTGCAAATACATGCTCATGCGTATCAGAGGGTTACGCTACCAACACTGCTGGTGCATTCACTCTCAGCCTTTCACTGGCTATTTCTCATTACCGACCCTCTCTCGCAATCATAACACTTTGTATTCTTTGTCATAGTATTTCTTAGCAATTGTTAATTACTGTTCTGATATTACCGTCTTGAGTAAATTAAAAAGAAATTATTAATTATTTAAGAACGAATTACTAAGTATTCTGGTTGCTTAGAGAAATATACGTCTGCTAATGAGAAATAGGAAACGGCTGAGAGTGATGTGTTCTTGACAGGTATGCATTTGTTAAAGTGTGAGGGAGGGTGTAGGGTGTGAGGCAGCTCGTTACAAACACCACCCATCGGTCCGCATTGGCAGCTCCTTACAGAAATTTGAGAGTGCAACGTCTTTTATAAAAAGGATTTTATTGTTTGCAGTAGACTCTGCCGAGACAGGTTCATTATATTCATTTTGTTACGAAGTTCCACTCCTACTGGGCCAAGCATGCATTTTTGCGTGTGTACTTTGTGGACAGTGTTCAAAACCAGTTCAAAACTCAACGTGTCTGTATTGTATTCCCTGACCCTAATCTTATATTCCTCCCGTCAGCTTTTCGTGACGTGAAAAACCTTTCTCGGTGGAGCTCAAGACTGGAGTCAGTGCTCGGCTGAGGAAACTTGAGATGTGAAGGCGCCTCTCATCAATCAGCACCAGACTCAAGCATATCCGTGATGCCGCGCATCAAGGTAAGGCACTAGCGTTTAGTTGGCCCAACTAGGTGGTCGATGCACATGCCGGCTGCCGTGAAAAATTTCGTCCGAACAGACCCTTTCAGTCTTCGCCGTGTGAAGGAGAAAAAGATTCAAAAATTCTGGAACCAGCAGCGCGCCATCTAGTGGCGGTTACTGTTAACTGTCAAAAACGGAACCCTGATTTCTGATTTATCACAAGCGTAGGTCTGGACGAAGTTCCCAACAGTCGCCGCTAGGTGGCGTGTAACTGGTTCTTGCGTTTTGATTACTTTTGTTCGTCATACGTTGACGACTGGAAGGGTACCTTGAACTCTTCTTGCACTGTGACTTGGAGAGACCCAACAACATCAGAGAGCTCAGCAAAAACTTTCCGAATAACCGCTTTGTAATACGAAGAATAGGAAGGCATTGTAAAATCTGTGTAGAAATGCTTCGTATCATGAAGCGAAATCCTTGGTAATGCGAAGCATGTCTGAATGCATGCATGCATGCGAAGCATGTCTTGAAGGAATGATCCAGGAATTGGATGAAAGGAATAGTTAGACTTATGTCCTAAGTGAGTTTTTATTCTAATGTTGTGCCTTAGAATGGTTTGCATTATTGCACCAAATTCTTTGACTGACTTCCTAGCAGTTACGGAGAAAATTCACTTCGAAAAAGGATAAAACTCAACCTGACCCTCTTTCAAACTCTCAATTTAGTGGAAAATGGAAACAACTCAACCAAAGTCAACGTGACTCCATTGAAAATTTTGTCAATAAGAGATACCTCAACTTACGATAGATGAGCCAAATCTGAAAACTGCACCATAGTAACCAATACTCCCTGCTCAAATTCTAGTTCGTTTAAGTTGAGATGAGTCTGTTTTTCATTTGAAGGGAAAGTGATAAGTCACACAAATCCACGCAGTGACCTGACACTCCTGGTGTTCATCTCAAAATTTAACTTACGCTTCTTGAAATTGTTAATTATATCATCTGTAACATTCCTTTGCTTAGTTTCAGTTTTCCCTTCTATTATTGTTTTGTTTCTCCTGAAAAATGGTTAAAATGAAGTTATCCCCTTCCGCTTCCTGAATTAACTCTACAATGCCTTCATTCTCTTCGTTGTTATAAGGCAACTGCTTCGTACGCTTTGAAGAGTGTGGTGGTTTTCGAACGCGGTCGACCATGTGGATCGGACAGTCGCACAATTATTGTTGGCCAGCTTCTCGCGCCGGTTCGCCGGTTCCCGCAGGTCTTGTGGCTCGTAGGAATGCCAACCTTACGAGTGCCTTGTTCTGCGAATCGGTGCGAAATCGGCTTTCCGCTCGTACATGTATGTGAACAACCTGTTGTTAATGCAGTTGGAGAAAGACCACACTGGGAAAACGTGTTTCTATGCTTGAGTCAAGCGTAGAGTGACGTCTGAAATGAAGCATACACTTAAATTTCCTGTTTGCGCAACGTTTCAAGCGTATAATGATTACGCTTGCGGAAAATTCTTAAAACTACCTGTGACGATTCTCTGTGCCCCTCTTACCAATATTCTGCATAGGACCTACCGTATTCTCCGTAGGACTATACAGTATTCCACAGAGAATGCTAAGAGGTCCTACGGCGAATATTGACGAAAGGACGATGAAGAATCTTGGCAAAACCTTAATCAAGTTTTGCGTAGCTTTTTGTCAGTGTGTGGACTTTAGGTTGTTATCTCCAGTTGCTCATGAAATTAAGATCTTACACGGGTCAAGTTTAGTTCAATCCATTTTCCTTGTGGATATTCTCTTCAATTGCTTGGAGTTATGTTATCTTATAATTTAGAGCAACGATGTAAACCATCCTGAGGCACAATGAACAAAACATAAACTTACTTTGGAGATATCTAAAGTTCCTTTCTGCCGCTTCCTGGGGCCATTCAGAGTGTGGTTTCCTGAGCGTAAACTCCTGATCTAACGCCGCCCGTTGCTTGACCTCTGTTTCTAGGAAAAGCGTTCCTCCAAGGCCTCGGCCAAGGCCTTGTCGAAGGCCGCGGCCAGGGCCGCATCCAAGGCCAGGGCAAGAGGCAGCCCCCCGTTGTTCCCCGGCGATGAGAGCGATGAGGAAGACGAGGCTGCCGACGTGATAGGCGAACTACTTGAACTGTTACTGCCCGATCCAAAGGAGAGACAGAGAAGAATATCAAACATCATGACTGAGGTATAGTATTTGGCTCCAAGTTTTAATTATGAAACTCACTAAATGCTATGCACGGTTTCGTTCGAGATGTTACTGCTCTCAGTACAGATGAACTATTCGAACGACTTCGTAACGAAAAACCGCGCATTGTAACCCGTTTTTTTTTTGTTGGCACAATCGCGGACACGTTAAGTTTGTACAAATATATATGAAAGGTCATCTGCTCAGAAAACTACACACTTAAATGTTATGTACAATTTTGTACGAGACGTCACATTTCTTTACGCACACAAACTTTTCGTACAATTTATGAAGGAAAAACTGCGCATACTTCCGCATTTTTGGGTGAAACCGCGTTTAAAATTGTACGAAAAGTTCGTTGGCAGCAAGCAATGTCCCGTACCAAATTAGTACGAAAACATCTAGGGTGTCGAACGTTTGTTGTATATATGCAGCCTTTCACCGCGAGACTTCGAGGGGGCTCATTCATGTTAAAAGTTACTTCGTTGAAAATTTTTTTTCTTGTGTTGAAGGATCAAGATTTTATGATTCCTGTATTAAAATCCTTTTAGATAGTTGAATAAGCCTTATTTTGACAAAGTAAAGTGACTTTGGACGCTTTTTGAAAATATAGTAGAAACAATTAAACTCTTGGTTCTTGTAAGATTTTGTTTGCATACTTGCTGAGATCTTTGGGGTTAAAGTCAGGGAGACTCATCCCAAGCAGTGTCCTAGAATTGATTAGGATGGGCTTTTAATATGTAATAGTTTTCTATAAAGTATCTAAAACAATTTGTTTCATTAAATTGTTCAAAAATTGTGAAAAAAATTGTTTTTCTTTTTCTCTTGAAAACTATTGCAGATTTAAGGCCCATTCTTGTAAATTCTATGACACTAATAGAGATGAGTCTCCCTGATTTTCTCCTCCACAGATCTCAGCAAGTATTCGTACAAAATTTTGCAAGAATCAAAATTTTAAATGTTTCAACTTAAATTCCCAATAGTGTCCAAAGTTACTTTCCTTTCTGTCAAAATGAAGCTTTCTCAATTATCTAAATGGGTTTCACTACACAAATCATAAAATCTTGATCCTTTTCACGACAAAAATTGTTTTAACATGTCCGAGCTCCCACAAGAGTCGAGGGGGTAACCACTCGCGTAATACCCTGTACACAAAAACCGTGTATTACGCGTTAAACACGTGATCGTAATGCCATTTTTGGAGCCAATGTGCCAAATTTTGGCATTTTAAGGCCGTAATACACGTGTAATACCCCCGTTATTCAGCGCAATACCGAGTAGTCTGTACACGATTTCTTGAAGTGGTTACCCCCTCGACAAGAGTGTGAGAGTGCTTCCACTCGCTAAAGGAACCCTGCCGTGTGCAACTCAGGGCGGCGACATGCGTCTCATGATCAACGAGTTGGTGAACAAGCGTCGCGACGACAAGGCAGTAATGCGACTGCTGCAGCGCATGCAAGAGGTGGGGGGCTGCGACTGCGAGGCGCGGATGGCCAAGTTCAAGAGCCCCTTCTCCTGGGGCTGGGCGGCCCAGCCCATGCCTCGCTGCGCCTACATAGCGGACAAACTGTTCCAGGTGAGTCGTGAACCTCCAACACTGGTAAAATGAAGGCATTATAACTGAGAAAATAACAGGAAAAGTAGCGGTACACATTGGCAACTTTGGCCCGTCCCGTAGCTACATACAGAGATGTGATAATGTCACCCATGTTAACCCTAACGGGAATTGAACTTGAGTCTAGGGTCAGAATTGTTATTATTTTTCGTCACCAGCGCCCTCAAAACCATGAGAAACAACGCTGAAACTGCGTCGTAATATTCCCCTCTGGGATTTAAACCCGCGATGTAATGAACCCGTAATGTGTTGTGCAAATTTTGTACGATACAACACAGACTTTTGTGCAGGTGAACTTTTCGTACAGCTTTGTACACGATTTCGTACAGGTATGGGGAAATGTGTGCAGTTTTTCGTTCCATACACTGATAATCCAAGTGTGGACCAGGTCCAAGCTAGCGTGGACCACGAAAAGTCCACGCGAGGAATCGTGGATCAAGCTGCGGTCCACGCGTTACAGCGTTGAACTCCTCATAGGCCATCCCGCGGGCCATCCGCACTCTAAGTGTGGACCACAGCTCGGTCTACAATTCCTAGCGTGGACCACTCGTGGTCGCAATCGCAAAATGGTATAATACCATCTAAAAATGAAATCAGGGCTATGTTACAGTGGCTTCGGCGTAATATTACCGCATTTTTTGAATCGCTTTGGCATTTTCATAGCAATGTACAAAGAAAAACCTTAATATAAAGTAAAGCTACCTTCACACTAAATCTTACGTCATGAGCATTTTGTACGACAAAACTGCACACATTTCCCCGTTTTTGTTCAAATCGCGGACAATTTTGTACCAAAACTTGTGGGCACAAAAAAATTGTTGTCTCGTCCACACTCATTCCAGGAACGTAACTTCTCGTTGAAACGAACGTGATAAATTTTCACGTTTGTGTGAGCATTGTGTTGTGAGCTCGTTTGAATGTGAACAAGCTGAATTTTGGCCAATTCACACCCAAACGAATGTAACACGATGCTCAAACGAACGTTTTAACGTGATATCACATTCCCGGAATGAAAGTGCAGAAAATTTGTGCACAAACACGGTGTGTTCGTATTGCGGGAATTTTTTCTTCGTGAGACATTGGCCGATCTTGTGTTTAAAATTACTCCTAACTTTGTCCGCTGCCAACCTTTATTTCCACACTGCGTGCAGGCGGGCACGGACTGGAACTTGGCCTTCGACAAGCTGAACCTCGCGTACAGCCTCTACACGTGGAGCAAGCGCGCGGAGGGCCGTGCCAAGCTGGTGGAGTGCTACATGTTGCTGCTGCCAGGCCCCTCCTTCAACCGCGGCTGCCCCATCGTCAATGACCACAGGTATGTCGGACATCACGGCTACACCCCAAGTCTGGCATGCCCTGAAACTGGGTGCCTTTGACGCCTGCCTGACGTTTCAGGGCGTCTTTGGCGCTGAGCTTCTTGGCACCTTCGTGCTCTAGTCTCAGGGTTTCTACTAGCACAGAAACGTCGATACGGTTTACAACGAAAAAACAGTAGTAATGAGTCTGAAAGCGTGTCATCCTTCTGTCGCTCAGGGAAGCTTTGCGCTACTTGCTGGACTCCACCTGGGCGAGCATGTGCCTGGTGCAACGCAAGCAGCCCTGCACCGGCATTGACCCTGTGCTGGCGGAGTTCATCAGCACCATCAAGCCCTACAACACGCTGCCTCTGGAGCAGAAGGCTGCCGTGCTCGTCATGGAGGGACGCTTCAGCGACGATGAAGGTGAGTGGACGCCTGCACTCTCAGTTTCACGCGAGATAGATTTCATCGTATGGGAACACGCTTTTAAGTATTTTGCGCATGTGTAACTATTTCGTTTGTAATTCAAGCACTCAATTATTGTCCCTTATGCCTATGTATTCAATTTTACATAGCTTTCATCTGCTCAAAGACGGCTGCAGTTGTACAAATTTGTTCATGTCACTCAATGTATTTTTTCAATGTTGTTCGTACACTGTATATCCAAAGGCGATACTTTTAGTACCTTTTCTGGCGATACAATTAAGCATCACCAAATAACGGCCTCACGGAAAAGTCTTACCTGTAAAACGGCGATACTTTGGAGTATTGCCACGATTTGGCAAAGAACTTTGAACAAATTTTCAAGGGGACAAGTTCTTAGTTAATTGCCAGATTTTGGCGATACCCAAAAGTATCACCAAATTTCGGTGAATTTTTTCTTTATGGCCGTTGTTAAGCCAAGATTTTTCGGTAAGGCCGTTTTTAGGCTAGACTGTAGAGTGTCAACGAGAGTGTGGAGAAGTCACGTGATGACGGCGCGGTGTGACTCGGCAGGCCTGCTGCGGCTGGCGCGCAGGGCCATCGCGCTGAGCCCGGACGAGGGCGAGTGGAAGCACATGCTGGGCTGGAAGCTGCAGGGGCAGCGCGTCAAGCAGGGCGGCAGTGTGCCGGGCACCGAGGAGCTGGCCATGCTGAGGGACGCCGTCCGTCTGCGCCGCAGCCCCGACACCCTCACCAGGCTGGCCATCTCCCTGGCGGACTGCGGCCCCGCCGGCAGGACCGAGGCCCGGCAGCTGGTGGACCAGGCACTGGCCGAGTACCCGGACAACGCCGCTGTGCTCTCCCAGGTAGGCACACTGAGAATCCAAACGTTATGAGTATAGCGTCAATTGGTGCAATGCAAATTCATTGCACTTAAAGTGCAATGCCCCCCCCCCCAATTCCCTCCCATGCATTAGCATAGGGCATTTTTGGGACGCATTGCACGTAAGGTGCAATATGGCTATGGGCGATTCCATGCCAAGCCAACGAACTCTTGGAATTTAATCTTTTCTATTTGGATGAAACTTTTTTTAGGGGTAGGGTTCATTATGAAAAGATCCAATGTCAAAGGGTTTTGCGATATCTCTCCCCGTTTGGCTGTAATACCATAGCGAAGTTTTCACTTTAGTCAGAATCATGATATTTTCTTTATTTTTCTCCGTACTTACTGAAAGTTTTCAGATTTGTTCCGAGAATGGTTCTTTACGTAAAAAGAGCTGGGGAACACGATGGAAATGGTTTCGTGACGATTGGGTGAAGTTTTGATGTAAATTTCTCCATTTAACGTTATTTTTTTTTCTTTTTCGAAAAATCGATGTCTTTAAAATAGCTCGTCTTCGATTTCCATGTGACTTTCCTCACATGATCCTCTTACATATTGAAAGAAAATCCTAAAAGGATTTGATCGGCCCACCGTAAGTTTTTTATTTGCACAAGAAAGGATGTATCATTTTGGGCGTTTTTCTTGAATTTTCGAACCAACTTTCTGAGTTTGCGTCGAGGGGTACCTCACTTCGTCTAGTCAGTGTACACCCCTGACTCCAGTCACTGCCTTGTTTCAGTCTAGTCACTGAAAAAGTCGGCAAAACCACGTAAATTTGTCCCAATTTTAGTATTTTTGCAACGCATTTCGTGATATTTTCAGTCTAGTCAAAGTGGAAATTGAGTATAGTCACCAGTCAGTGTACACCTGTTTTCGAAGTGAGGTACCCCTCGGTTTGCGTCTAAGCTTATGTCCCGTGAGGAAATAAATTTTGTCTTGTCGAGACGAATCTATTGATATATAGAAAAGTCGTTTTTGGCAATTTTGAAAATTTACCCTAGTTTCTCTCATACTGAAATAGGGTGAAATTTTCACAATTGTCCAAAATGACTTTTCTATATATCAATGGATTCGTCTCGACAAGACAAAATTTATTTCCTCACGGGACATAAGCTTAGACGCAAACTCAGAAAGTTGGTTCGAAAATTCAAGAAAAACGCCTAAAATGATACATCTTTTCTTGTGCAAATAAAAAACTTACGGTGGGCCGATCAAATCCTTTTAGGATTTTCTTTCAATATGTAAGAGGATCATGTGAGGAAAGTCACATCGAAATCGAAGACGAGCTATTTTGAAGACATCGATTTTTCGAAAAAAAATAATAATGTTAAATGGAGAAATTGACATCAAAACTTCACCCAATCGTCACGAAACCATTTCCATCGTGTTCCCCAGCTCTTTTTACGTAAAGAACCATTCTCGGAACAAATCTGAAAACTTTCAGTAAATACGGAGAAAAATAAAGAAAATATCATGATTCTGACTAAAGTGAAAACTTCGCTATGGTATTACAGCCAAACGGGGAGAGATATCGCAAAACCCTTTGACATTGGATCTTTTCATAATGACCCCTACCCCTAAAAAAAGTTTCATCCAAATCGAAGAGATTAAATTCCAAGAGTTCGTTGGTTTGGCATGGAATCGCCCCTATGGCATTGCACGTATCTGCGATATCTCAGCTGCATTGCACCATACGTGCTATACTCATAGCGTTTGGAATCTCAGTGCAATAATCCCATTCCTCCATCGGCATATTTTCAATATTAATTGACGTCTGTGCCCGTTAACAAAATCTCGTGTGTTAGTAGCTTGACAGATTTGTCAAAGATGGAATTATGGTCAAGGAAGCAGAAGAAGCGACTAACTTGTCTTATCTCGAAATTGTGATATTACTCTATTAGTGTGCCTTAAAATGGTTTCTACCATTGCACCATTTTATCTGACTCAATTCCAAGCAGTTACGCAGAAAATGCTGATAGAAAAATAATGCAATTCAACTTGACACCTATTACCAGGGATAGACTAAAGTGACGAGAACTTTATGCTTACTTAGATCCACTTGAGTTGTCTTACCCTTTGAATAATAGTCTTGATCGAATTTGGAGTGCCTCGCCTGAATATGCTCCCTTGTTGGCGGTCCTAACTGTGACTTCGCATGCAGGCCGCGCACGTCGTCCAGCTCCTGGGCGGGTCTGTCCAGGCCGTGTACAACGAGGTGGAGAACCTCTACACGCGCGCCCTGGCCGTGACAGGGGACTGCGCGCACTTGCGCATGAAGCTGGGCATGGTGCTGCAGCAGCGCGGCAAGGCTCGCCAGGCCAAGCAGCAGTTCCAACGGGCAGCTGCCATCAGTCTCGACGCCGTCGAAGAGTTCATGAAGGATGTGCCCTTCCCTTTCGCCAAGTGACCGCGCCGCCCGGCGAGGTCCTCCACTTGTGATTGACTCCCATCTAGTCAGGCTCCTTTTCAAGTGATTGACTCCATAAACGGTCTTGCAGTGGTTGTCTGCTGCCCGTTGAGGAACAATTTTTCTTTATTATGACATTATAGTGAACTAGAGGTCTGTTGTGATTTTGTTGTCAACAGTGCTAGTAGGTATTTTTTTTGTATGTGTGCTTTTTACTACTTGCAACGTTTCCTACAGTTTTCAAATGTTAACGCTTTTCGGTATCAAATGAAAAATATCATGTGTTCTACTCTCGTTTTTGTTAAGTCCTTTTGCCCTTTTTTCCGCCCTTGGTGAATTCTGGGGTCGGCCATTTGGTTCGATGTCGAACCCGTTTTTCTAGGCACAAACTTCACTGTCACAAAATTTGAACCGCAGCTTCCTATGCCTTGGGAGGGAAAAGGGTGGTAAACAATTTGCCTGGGCCTGGCCATCCGTCCGTAGAACTTCTGCCCTTTTTGATCGTACCTGCCGTTTACATGGAAAGAGTACACTATCTTATGTACAATTTTGTACGAGGCATCACAGTTCTTTGTGCGCACGAACTTTTCGTACAAATTTTATACGAAAAACTGCACAAATTTCTCCATTTTTGGGGAAAATCGCGTGCAAATTCTTACGAAAGTTTCGTGTGCACTAAGAACTGATGTCTCATACAAGATTTGTACAAAAACATTTAGTGTGTACGTACGTTTCGTATGTTTTCCGTATTTTTGTCCAAAATATTGAGAAAATGGGAGGGGTCGATGTAACGAGTGCAAAAGCAGGATAGATTTACCTATTTACCGAACGTGGATCTCATGTATTTGAACCACTGCACTGCGTGCTTAGCATCGTTAAGTCCACTCTACGCAAAGGCATTTGTTAGTGTGCACTCGCCAAGCATACTAGTGTGTACTTGGCCAATTATGCGTTTGTGTGTACTTCCAACTATTCGTTTGTCAGTGTTTACTTCGTAGTCAGGTTTGCAGTGTACTGTCATTTAAGGGGGCATTTAAGTAGCACTTTGTACACGCTTTTTCAATTTTTTTCGATTTTTCTGTTTGCACCTGAATAAAAAAGACTTGCATGAATGCTAGAGACAAACAGCGGGAACCATGTAAAAGATAAAACTTTTTGCAACAATTAAAAAAAAATATTTTGGTTTAGCGTTAAGGGAGGCACTTATGTGAGGGACGGAAGAAAGGTCTGCAAAATCATACATGGTATCACTGCGCGCACGATTCCAGCCAAAGTTTTCAACTTTTTTTCAATCGGTAAAATGCATAAAAAAGAGCATAAAATTGCCTACAAAATGAACCACGGGGGTCAATATCGGGCCAAAAACGCTGGTAGAAAAAGGTCATTTTCCAAAAAATTTCCATTGAATGAGTTTTTCTTGTTCGATACTAAATATCTAGTAGCATTTTTCATCCGATATTGACCCCCGTGGTTAATCTTGTAGGC